AGGGGGAAAGGTGGGGGGGCTAGGACGGCCCCCAGCTCCGGAGCGGGCGTGGCTTCCACCGTCACTGAATACGCGGATGCTGCGCGGCTTCGGGGGCTCCTCGCGGCCGCTTGCTCATCCGCGGCCGGCACCGGCGGGACACGGCGCCCCTCGCGGCTGCCACCTCGGCGAGACGGCCCCCCGGGGCCACCCCGACCCCAGCTGTTCTCCTTAGCTCCGTGATGTGGGCTCGCGTGGGTCTGAAGTTGGCTTTTGAGCCCGTCCTAGGAGCTGCTGAGGGGAAAAAAAATGAATGGGGGTATAGAGAGGAGGTTGGGCGGTGGGAGGGCACGCGGACCCGAGGTCGAGTTGCAAGAGCGCCGATTTCCTTCCCCCCGGGGGAAGGCAGACCGCGCTCGTCGCCTGCGGATCCGAGCTCTGGGGTCTCGGGGGAAGGAAACCACAGCCCTGACTTCCCCCCCACAGTTGCCAGGACAGTGTTCCCCTCCGGGGGCCCCCTAAGGGCGCGTGGAGGCGGGAGGCCCCCTGGAGAGGTCCCTGCGTCCGCTCCGCGGGTTCCCAACGCGGCGCGGGCTACGACTGCACTGGCAAGACCGCTTTGCCTCTCAGTGAACCACTTAGAAGTAGGACATCTCGGCCCTCAGCCCCCTGTTCTTTCTTCTTTCTTTTCCCTCCAGTTCTCTCTCTCTCTCTCTCTCTCCCTCTCTCTCTCTCTTTCACACACACACATACACACACACGTGTCTCACTACAAAGTAACAGCTTTGCCCTGTGACCCCGCGCGCGCCCTTGTCCCAGTGCCCTGGGCTTAACCTCAAAAGCATTGGGTGCTGCTGGGAGCGCAGGGTCCCGCGTAGGGTTCCGTCCTCCGGGAGCTGGCTGCCCTCGCCCCGCCCGACGGACCCTCCCTACAGCGCCCGGCGACACTTCACCGCGACTTCCCTGCGCCCGGCTGCTCTCCCCCAGCCGTGATCGCTCCTCCTGAGCTCTCGCGCCTCCGCTTGGGCCCTCTCGGTCCACGCCTGGGGCCAGCCAAGCTCGGATTGCGTTCGTCGCTCTCTGGGTTGAGGCACTGGCGTGAGCGGTTTCATGAGGCTTCCGTGAGATACGCCGCCCTGGATGCTCGTACGCGCTGCAGGGGACACATTGACGTTCCCCTCTTCGCTTTCCCGCGCCGCGACACTTCGTAATTACCTGACACAATGCGATATGGGGGTGTCCATTGTTCCACTGCTTGTTATTATGGAATGTTCATTATAACAGTGGTGGAACTTAAAATTACACAATTTTTTTAAGTACTTAAAGATTGAATGAATCGGTTTGGGGAATATGAGTCAGCTTTCCATTAAAATCTGTTTGGCCTGTCAAATGAGGCTCATTCTGGGTATCACATCGCCTAATTTGAATTTTAGCCTTGTTTTGTTTCTTGAACGTCGAATTAGAGATATTTGGGGACGTACTCGGGAGGACTAAGCACCTCTAAGGTGGCTATTTTGCATCTTAGCATTATTTTGTTTCATAAATGCCAAATTACAAATACTTGGGAGTGTATCCAAGAAAGCTGAGCACCTCCCCTCGCCTCTTTTCTTCCCTGTGTGGAGGGACGGGGAAGGGGGGGGAGCCGCACCCTACTCTGCGTGGCTCGCTGGATCCCAGGCGAGCCAGGAGGCCAGAGTGAGCAAGGCAGAATCAGACCCTGCTCCTGCAAGGGGTCCAAGCAAATTTGCCGGGAAAAAATGTTCAAGGTCCTGGGGCGGTTATCTGGGGCAGAAAAAGTCAAGAGAGGAGGATTGCTGAGTTTTTAGGGAGCGCTTTGCGGTACAGGCGTCCCTTTATTCAAGATTTTTCCAGCAACCTCTGGGAGCGTACCCAGGTATACACAGGTGTGAACCCAAGTCCCCTGGGAAGTCTTGAAGCCAGTAGTAGCCCACAAATGACCAACAATGACCCTGGCAACAAGAATGAGGAGAGGAGCCCAATCCTGTTTGCACTAACACGCTTCCCCCTCTTTCCTAGAACAATAACACAAGATCCCCCAACGTGTGAAAGTGGGTGTATTTCTCAGTGAGGAATAGCATCCTAATGCTGTTGCCAGTAGGGAGAGATGAAGAGTGGGTCTTTTTGGTTTTTCAATCTGAATTTCATCCAAAACATCTGATAATATGTGGGTTGGAGGTAGTTTGTTTTCTCTGTTTTGTCCTCTTGGTCTTTAATGAGAAGTAGTCAGAAACTTTTTTTTTTTTACTTTTGAATATTCTAAACTGTGGAAACATATGTTGTAAAGTATACACAAAAGGAAGCTTTTTGTCTTCTGGAAACATATTTAAGTCCCCTCTGTTTCCTTTGGTGCCAGAAACATTACAATCGATTCACTGTTGTTCAGTTGATATCAAATAACAAGTTATATACCCGAAGTCCTAAGATACAGTTTCACAAGTTAAGAATAAACAGAAAAGGTGAACTGTAGCCCAGAGTTATATTTAGAGGCAGCTATACTTCCTTTAAAGAAAATTTCTTCTTCTGCACTGGCTCATTTAATAAAAATAGTGATATTACTCAGTCACCTGTCCTTTCACAGTCATATGTCCTCCAGAAAAACTGAGGTGAGAATGTTGTCCTAGAATCCACGATGCATATCTTCAGGGACAGAATGAAAACCCATATAATATGTGTGAGGGAACTTTTAGTCCAGAATGAACTTCAGAACTAATGATTGTTATACCTTGTTAATGGCAAGTTTTAGGTTTCTTCAAATGTGTTATAGATGAAGACAATTATAACAACAGTTGCTGCTTTATGATTTGGACATATCATGAGTCTAATAATGTTCTGTAGGTAACTTTATACAGTCTGTTGGACTATAACCCTATGTAGGTAGGAACAATCTCCTACATCTCAAAAAAGCCACTCTTTCCTATTATGATTTACCATTATGTTCCAGCCACCAGTTCACACACCCACACACACCACCACCACCACCATTCAAGGCCCTAGACACAGAAATAGTCTTCAATATTCCCTTTACTACCTCTGCCAGTCACCAAGAAAAGCATAGGAATGACCTTTTTCATACATTTCTCAGGTATATTTTTGTGACTTTTACTCTTCAAGGCTTCTCTTGATATTCATTCAAACCAGATTCACCTGGAAAATACATCAGAGAGAAGATAGGGAATCCCCAGGATGGTGTGCTTTGGGCTCTTAACCTCTAGATCTCCTTCTTTGTTATCTCTAAGAACACCTAACTCAGAGGCCCAGTCTTCATGCCTGGTAACGAATGAATAAATATTTGCTGATTGATTTGTATGACATAATAACAAACTTACAAAGAGACTTTACTGTATATTGTTTGAAATTAATGCTCATCTTGAATAAGCTCTGTGGTCTAACCAAATATGGGACTAAAATATATGGGGTAGTTACTATGCTGAACACATTGTAAGAATTACCTCATTTAATATTTACAAAATCTTATGAGGCACCTTTTACTGTTATCCCCATTTCACAAATGAGGAAACTAAGGCTTACACAAGTTAAGTTATTAAGTCACAAGCTAGTAAGTATCGGGATTTGAGTCTGTAACTTTCTGTCCAACTCTAGTTATGGAGTTCTTGATACTACGATAACCTGATTTAATGAGCCCCTTTTAATAATCTGTATTTTATCTAATCTAAGCCCCATGGATTGTTTTTTGCATTTTCACACCTCTGAGATTGTAATATATCTTACAATGATTTCTTACAATTATGAATGACAGCTTTTTCCCCTCCTCAATACTCCATAAAATAATAGCACATTCTCCCATCAGTGGCGTATTTGGTTATGTTAGGTTATGCTGCAATGGCAAATCAGAAAATCTCAGGACTTAAAGCAACAAATATTTCTACTCCTTGCTCACAAAAGTCTCCTGAAGATCTGTGTGACTCTCCAGAGCAACTGTCCTCTGTGTGAGGGCTTGGCATCGCACCTCCATGCCACCATGTGCTTCCACAGCCATTGCTCTAGAAGAAGATGGAACCCTGCAGGATCTCTCACCAGCAGTTAAATGCTCCAGCCTGGCAGGGTCATATGTCACTTCTGCCTCCAATCCATTGACTAGAGTTAATCATATGATTCTGCCCAGCTGCTAGGGAAGCTGGGAAATTTAATTCTCCCATGTTCCCCACAGGAGAGGAGAACTGGATATGGGGGAGCATTTAACATATACCGCAAGACGTCTTCATTGAATGAAATATGGTCATTAGGATCAATTAATGTAAATATCAGGGATCTTTTTTATTCAAAACCAATGAGCAGCAATGGGCCTGTGATTTGTTATATGCCACCTAAAACATACTTTCAAAGTTCATGTTCATGTTTAACTTCAGAGAACGGAAATTCAAAATCAATTTCAAAAAGAACATTATGAAACAGCTTAATTATAATGCAGGGGCTTTAGCCAGGGGTCTACAGGTGA